GGGTCTGTGTGGACATCATGGCGTGGGCCATGGTATTTCCTCAGATTCCACGGCGCCTCTTCGTATTTCACTGCGTCCTCCGCCCCCCCTTGTGCCGCGCACATGCCGCCAGCCATGATCCGTAAGGGCTTCGCCCCCTGCCGCCGGCCCCCTCTCTCGGAGAATGGGCCATGGAAGAGCTAAGTCATGAGGCCTTGGCGCTGTCGTGAAGCAGTATCGAAACTTCATGCGAAGCCGATTCGCAATCAGCAAAACCAACTGATCACAAGAGGGGTTACCACACCTGGCGATTGGTAAGACGTGTATGGTTTACGGGCTTGGTTACCACACCTTGCGATTAAAGGGCCGAGGGAGTTCTCGCAGTTTGGGTTACCACGCCTTGCGATGGATGTGCGTGAAGGGTGGCACCGAATTTCAGAAATGTGCCAAATCCCTTGTGTTTTTGGACCCTGACCCCGCGGATCTGCGTGAGGGGTGGCACCGAATTTCAGAAATGTGGCAAATCCCCTGTGTTTTTGGACCCTGACCCCGCGGATCTGCGTGAGGGGTGGCACCGAATTTCAGAAATGTGGCAAATCCCCTTTGTTTTTGGACCCTGACCCCGCGGATCTGCGTGAGGGGTGGCACCGAATTTCAGAAATGTGGCAAATCCCATGTGTTTTTGGACCCTGACCCCGCGGATCTGCGTAAGGGGTGGCACCGAATTTCAGAAATGTGGCAAATCCCTGTGTTTTTGGACCCTGACCCCGCGGATCTGCGTGAGGGGTGGCACCGAATTTCAGAAATGTGGCAAATCCCTTGTGTTTTTGGACCCTGACCCCGCGGATCTGCGTGAGGGGTGGCACCGAATTTCAGAAATGTGGCAAATCCCTGTGTTTTTGGACCCTGACCCCGCGGATCTGCGTGAGGGGTGGCACCGAATTTCAGAAATGTGGCAAACCCTTGTGTTTTTGGACCCTGACCCCGCGGATCTGCGTGAGGGGTGTCGATTTCGAGCCCCCAGCAATTCAGACAACGCGCCCAGGAGGTGCTATATTTTGGTTTGGGCCTCCCCCCCCCTCGCGCGGTCAATCAACTAGTTAAAGTAACCAGCAAGAAGCAGAACTGTAACACTGGAAACTACAAGCTACAACTGGTACAGGAAACTGCGAACCCGCGCCTACAGCCTGGTGGCCCCACAAGGGGGCCGGCGGATTTGCGCCCCCCCCCTCTTGGACGCCCCCCTCTTGGCCGCCCCCGACATCGGATATTTCGGGGCGTTTTCGAGAGCCCGCGCGGCTGTCTTGGGGCGGCGCTGGAGTCTACCCTGGCGGCGCCTCCGGCGCCCTCCGCACGCCAGGAAGGGGGTCCAGCGCAGATCCGTGAGATCCGCGCGGACCCCCGAAAGTTGATGCGTATGCAGTTTCTCTCCTTCTAGGATGTTAAATCCAAGACGTGCGAAGCGATCCAGGCACTGCGACTGCAGGGGCGAGACACTCAAGACCCAGTCTCGTAGGCCTGGAGGTTGACACCAACACCAATATCGGCGGTGTGCCTCCACTGGCGGAAGATGCTCCCGATCTCGGCGCTGTAGGTCACACTCGGGCTTCATAGGTGGCCAGAATGGTCATTACCACCCGCGCCGCCAAAATCTGGGATCATCTTCCTTGGGCGAAGGGGAAGAGGGAGGAGCGAAGAGGGTAGCGAAGGGGAGGAGGGTGGAGGGAAGGGGGGTAGGGGGAGGAGGGTGGAGGGGAGGGAGGGGGACTGTGGGAGGGAGGAGGGAGCGGAGGATGGGCGGGGAGGGAGGATGGAGGGTGGGGGGAGGGGGGGGATGGGAGGAGGGATGGGCGGCGAGGGGGGGAGAAATGGGGAGGGGAGGTGGGGAGGGCGGGGGGAGGAGGGGGGAGGGAGGAGGGAGGGGAGGGGAGGGAGGGAGGGAGGAGGGAGGGGGGGAAGGGAGGAGGGGGGAGAGGCGAGGCCCCCCCTTGTATTGGTGCTGGTGCCCGTCTCGGGGACTCGGCGCCAGCGTGTCCCCTGCGCCCCAAGATCGCGAGGAGGCAGCGCGCAGCGGCCGCGGCGGGCAGGCCGAGGCGTACTGCCCGCGCGAGCGCAGCCCTTCCTCGCCGGCGAGGCGGCACCGCCGTCGCGACTCCTGCGTGCGGGGTCAATCACGTGGCACGCTGCAGACACGCGCGCACGCATGCACGCCCGCCGCACGCACGCACGCACGCACGACCGACACACAGACACACAGACACACACACAGACACACAACAATCAGAGAACACACATGCACACGCACACGCACACGCACACGCACACGCACACGCACACGCACACGCACACGCACACGCACACGCACACGCACACGCACACGCAACGCACACGCACACGCACACGCACACGCACACGCACACGCACACGCACACGCACACGCACACGCACCACACGCACACGCACACGCACACGCACACGCACACGCACACGCACACGCACACGCACACGCACAAGCACACGCACACGCACACGCACACGCACACGCACACGCACACGCACACGCACACGCACACGCACACGCTCACGCACACGCACACGCTCACGCACACGCACACGCACACGCACACGCACACGCACACGCACACGCACACGCACACGCACACGCACACGCACACGCACACGCACACGCACACGCACACGCACACGCACACGCACACGCACACGCACACGCACACGCACACGCACTCGCACACGCACACGCACACGCACACGCACACGCACACGCACACGCACACGCACACGCACACGCACACGCACACGCACACGCACACACATCCGCACGCACGCACACTTACACACACTTACACATACACACTGACACACTCACACATACACACTTACACATGCACACTTGCACTTTAACTTACACTTACACTTACACTTACACTTACCTATACACTTACACGTATACCTTATACTTACACACGCTTACATGTACACTTACACAAACACACACGCACACACACACACGCACACACACACACACGCACACGCGCACGCACACACACACATACACACACACACGCACACGCACACGCAAGCACACACTTTTGGCGGTCGCGGCCTCGCGAGCAGCGACGAGGCGGAGAAAATTCAGCGAGCAGCACGGAAGTAACGCGCGCGGCCGGGTCTTGAGCAATCACACACACACACACGCACGCACGCACGCACGCACTCACGCACGCACTCACGCACGCACGCGCACACACAGACAAACACACACACACACACACACACACGCACACACACGCACGCGCACACACAGACAAACACACACACACAGTAGCACACACACCACACGCACACGGCAACGCGCACACGCACCGCACACACACAACACACACAGCACACGCAGCACACACTCACACGCACACACACGCTACACACACAACACACACACACTCGCTCCACAACGCAACATAAAACACACACACAAGAGTGTTTGGGCGGTCGCGTCCTCGGGCGCAGGCGGCGAGGCGGATTAATCTTGAGCCGGCAGCATACAGGAAGTAAACACTCGCGGCGGGGGCCCTGTAGCAATTCACTCCCTACGCACGCAGCACGCACCACACCACAGACAACAAAACCACTCACACACACGCCACGCACGCACACGCACGCACGCACACGCACACACACGCACACACGCTCACACACACACACGCACACACGAACACTCACGCACACACGCACACACGCACACACGCACACACGCACGCACGCACACAGGCACACACGCACACACGCACACACGCACACGCGCACACACGCACGCCTACACACACACACACACACACACGCACGCACGCACGCACGCACACACACGCACGCCCGCCCGCCCGCCCGCACGCACGCACGCACGCACGCACGTGGCGAGCCATAAGAGCCACGGTCGAGCGGCAGGCCCGCCCCCGCCCCGTTTCGCTTGGACCCCGTCTCACAAGACGCCCGAGGAGGCGCTCAGTCGGGGAGTGGGGGTGATGGCTTGGGTGGGAAACGCGTGGGCCGATTTCTTCGCCACGGTTGCGCTGCATGTTGTCACGGTTAGCCCGAAGGTTGGTGGCAAAGGGCTCGAGCTGCGCCTCGCCGAGGCGGTGAATCGTGCCAGGTTTGTTGCGTGGGCTGGCAAGCGTGTGTTGAGCTCTGATCGGTGGGATGGCCCCCAGGATGAGCCCCAAGCCCATTCAAAACGCACCCCTGGCTGCCGGCCCGTTTGCCAACGCCCCATTAGCAGGTGCTCGGCCTGCAGGCCGCGGGGCCGCAGCCTATTCTTGCAGGGGGGCGGAGGGGGCGGCGGCTTCTGGCCCCCACCCAGCGTCGCAGGTCGGCGGCGAAGTCCGAAACCTGCCCTCGCCGACCAGCGATGCATCGGGCATGGCCCCGGGTAAGGGGACCCGGTTAGTGGTAGGGCCCCGGAGTCTCTGAATTGGCCAGAATCACTGAACCAGGTCTGCCGTGGCTGGTGTTTTTTCGGGTGACGGCAGTTCCGGTTGGTGGAACGGGGCGGGGGGGGCGTCCCCCATGTACACAGCACTAAAACCAGGTCCCACTAAACCCAGTTCTGCCAACGCCCAGATGCAGGCAATTCGAGAGGCGGCGGGGGTAGGGTTCGGAGTTCGCCGACCGCGTGGCGAACTCTGGACCCTGCCCCCGCCTCCCGTCGACCCAGGAGAAGCGATGGTTGGCGAGGGTGCCCATCGGTCGTTGAAAGTGGGTGTTTTTGGAGTCCCAGATTCCAATCTGCTTTCAGCGCCTTCATGCTTCAATGATCGAGCGGCTTCACCTTCTCAGGGCTCTTTGGGAGGCGGCCAACGCCTTCCTACTTCAGGTGTCTGCCTACTTCTTCCGACCGATGGGTAGGGTTCCGACCGACGCGGGCAACTCGAGGAGGGTAGGGTTCGGAGTTCGCCGACCGCGTGGCGAACTCTGGACCCTGCCCCCGCCTCCCGTCGACCCAGGAGAAGCGATGGTTGGCGGGGGCAGGGCTCGGACGTCGCCACCCAGCAGGGGGAGCCCTGGGTCCCGTCGCGCACGCGCGCGAACCGCGCCAGGACTTCGAGCTGGAGACCAAGTCTCGGGCCGAGGAGCTCAAGGCTGCCGCCCTGGCGGCTCCAGCCTCCTCCTCCCCCTCCTCCTCCTCCTCCTCCTCCTCCTCCTGCTGTTCTGCCAGAGGTTGTCAGAGTATAGGTGTCGTCGGTGCAATCGAGTCGCTCGAAGTGCGTGTACCCTCCATACTCTTCGCTCAGGGGCAGATCGAGTCTGTGCTCCCACGACGTTGGTCCAGAGCTTGGCCGACGACTTCTTTAGGCGGAGTTCTGAGGCGTGGGTTAGTAGTTCGGACTCTAGAGTCACGGCTGCCCTTGAGGCTGCTGATAGGATTTTGGGGTCCACGCCTGAGCCTCGGGAGCCCACCTCGGTGGTGCAGGCGAGTGCTTCCAGTGACTCTGCCGACGCTCCTCCATCAGTGCTTGCCGAATTCGCTGAATTGGGCATGACGTTTTCTGTGTGAATTCCGTTTATTGCTGCCGTAAGTGCGGCGGCAATTTCAACGGGTCCGAGTCCTTCAGGTCAGCCCGCAAACTGCGGGCTGTGTGCCAGGGGTTTTCAGAGAATCCTAAGACTCGGGCCAACCAGCACACGGCGATTGACATAATCACCCGTGGCTTGGAGCCCCGCCAGAGAGGGGCAGGTGCGGCGCGTTCTGGCCCGACCCCTGCCCCCTAGCGTAGCTCTTTGGGCCCTGGGAGGTTTTAGGGTGTGGTTTTCCTGAGGCGCCCCACCCTCTCCCAGGCTTTCGCCTTTTCCGCCACCCCTGTGGCTCTCAGGTCTCACACGCGGTTGGTGTTCGTCACTCGGACGCCTCTCCTGCGGCTCGCTGCCTCCTCCTCCTCCTCTTCCTCCTCCTCCTCCTCCTCCTCCTCCTCCTCCTCCTCCTCCTGTCTCCTCCTGTCTCCTCCTGTCTCCTCCTGTCTCCTCCTGTCTCCTCCTGTCTCCTCCTGCCTCCTCCTCATCATCATCATCCTCCTTCCTCCTCCTCCTCCTCTCCTCCACCTCTCCTCCTCCTCCCCTCCCCCTCCCCTTCTCCTCCTACCTCCTCCTACTCCTCCTCCTCCTCCTCATTCCTTCCTCTCATTCGTCATCATCATCATCATCATTCATCATCATCATCATCATCTCATCCTCATCCTCATCCTCATCCTCATCCTCCTTCCCTCCCTCCTGCTTCTCCTCCTCCCTCTCATCTCTCCTCCCTCTTCATCCTCCTCCTCCTCCTCGTCATCCTCCTTCCCCCCCCCCTCCTGCTTCTCCTCCTCCTCCTCCTTCCCTCCCTCATGCTCCTCCTCCTCTTCTTCCTGCTCATCGTCCTGGCGTTTGCTGCACCAGGGGTGGGTGTTCGGTATACCTGTGATGTCTCGCAGTAGAGTTTGGAGTTTCCGACGTTTTTTTGTTCCCCACATGTTTCGTGGGGTTCTGGTTTTCTTCCTTGCCGCGCCGCACCCGCGACACTCACACCTCACCTCTCTTTCCTTCTCACACATCGCAGCACAGCACAGCACAGCATAGCACAGCTCAACGCAGCACAGCACAGCACAGCACAGCACAGCACATCATAGCACAGCTCAACGCAACACAGCACAGCACAGCGCAGCACAGCACAGCTCAGCACAGCTCAGCTCAGCTCGGCACCGCACAGCACATCACAGCACAGCTCAGCACATCATAGCGCACAGGGCAGGCGCGCAGGGCACGGCACGGCAGAGCGTGGCAGGGGTGGCATTTTCTCGACGCCGGAGAGGGTGCGCAGGGGGTGGTCCCTCAGCGCGGTCTCTATGCGTGTCAAGTCGGAGAGCGTGGCAAGGGTGGCACTTTCTCGACACCAGAGAGGGTGCACATCCTCGACACCACAGGGGGCGCGCTCGGGGTGGGGTCGCTATCCGCTTCGGGCTCGCAAAGCGTGGCAGGCGTGGCACATCCTTGACACCACAGGGGGCGCGCTGGGGGTGGGGTCGCTATCCGCTTCGGGCTCGCAAAGCGTGGCAGGCGTGGCACATCCTCGACACCACAGGGGGCGCGCTGGGGGTGGGGTCGCTATCCGTTTCGGGCTCGCAAAGCGTGGCAGGCGTGGCACACCCTCGGCACCACAGGGGGCGCGCTGGGGGTGGGGTCGCTATCCGTTTCGGGTTCGCAGAGCGTGGCAGGCGTGGCACATCCTCGACATCGGGGTGGGGTCGCTATCCGTTTCGGCTCGCAAAGCGTGGCAGGCGTGGCACATCCTCGACACCACATGGGGGCGCGCTGGAGGTGGGGTCGCTATCCGTTTCGGGCTCGCAAAGCGTGGCAGGCGTGGCACATCCTCGACACCACAGAGGGCGCGCTGGGAGCGGGGTCGCTATCCGTTTCGGGCTCGCAAAGCGTGGCAGGCGTTGCACATCCTCGAATCCACATGGAGCGCGCTGGGGG